GGAATAAACAGTAAGAACTGGGAGTTTTAGTACATAAGTCATAACTGAGCTTAACTGGCATCACAGATACGTGCTGGGCTAAATCTCATGACTGGAATATTGGCATAGAGGCCTATAGCTTGTTCAGGAAGGACAGGCCGGAAAAAAAGAGAGGAAGTATTGCATTGTACACTTGTTCTGAGTCCAGAAGGAGGTGAGAAGCAGACCAGCTGAAAGTCTCTGAGTAAAGATAAAATGCAAAGGAAAGACAGGAAGAATAGTAAGAGGCCAATATGGCTCCATCAGAAGTTTTTTAATGACCTGAAAATCAAAAAGAAATCATTCAAAATGTGGAATTACTAAGGAGAAGTACAAAAGAATAGCATATACATGTAAGGACAAAATCAGAAAGGGAAAGACACAAAATAAGTTATACATAACAAGGGACAAATGTAATTGGAATTTTTTCCATATGGTTTACTGCAAAGAGTGTCATCAATAAAAATTTAGTTGATTTGTTTGGCAGGACATGAAGTATAAATTTCAATTCATCGGCACCCCCCCCCCCCCCGCCTCCAACTGACCTTTGTGTTGAACACAGTTTTAGAGAGGTAAAGTGCCCCTAGAATGTCCAGTGCCCCTAGACATGTGCCTACTATGCCTCTTTGGAAATATGGCCCTGCCGGAGGGTACACCCCAGTGGTATGTCTACACAGCATACTAAGCCGGAGCTCTGACTCTGGCTTAAGACCAAGCCCCACTTCTGTCCACACGGAAGTTAGTTTGACTCAGGCTTGCAGAGCCTGCTAGGGGATGGGGTCAGAGCCGAAGTCCCACTGTGATGCAAGTCAGAGCCCAAACACTTTGTAGTGTGGATGCAGCTCAGCTCCATGTCACCAGACTCGGGTGTGGAGAATCTGCCAACACTATCTAACAATCCCCAGGGACTGCGCTTCCCGGCCCTTCAATTCCAAAACTTGCCACTTGCTTCCCAGGAATCTTATGTAACATGGGGATACTGATAATGGCCTCCTTTGTAAAGGACATTGAGACCTTCTGAGGAAATGAGCTACAGAAGAAGTAGGTGGTCTTAGGGTGCAGGTCCAACACTGGCTGATCTGGCCCCTCTCCTCAACAAGGGGTCAGCTGCTGCTTTGGAGGTGAAAGGCTCTTTGTATCTCCTCAACCACAAGGTCTTGTAATGTCCTAAGGACGATCTCCCTCTGGGTTCCAGACCAGGACGCCAGTTATTCCTTCCTGTAGCGGGGTGGTTTCCCTGGGAGAGGACTGTGGGGGGAAAGCTGGGCTGATTGTGGAAACAACCTCAGCTGTGGCCATGCCCCAAACAGACCCACTGGCTTGCAGAGGGTGCTCTGACGGGTGGAGAGCTAATTCCCAGAGACAGCCAGCAGGAGGCGCCGCTGGGTGAGTCTGCGCATCGCTACACTTCCCCTGAGAATCCACCCTTAAGATTCGAGACTGGCCACTTCCCAGGGCTTTGGGAGATGAGTCAGAGCTGCGGGACACCAGTGTGGTGCTGAGGTGGGCCAGCTACTGCTCTCATTTACCCGGGTGCAAGGCAGGAGTAACTCTACTGAATTCAATGGGGTTACGCCTGATTTTTCTGTGGAATATTCCAGCTGCTGGGGGTGGTTCTAACAGGGTTCCCACACCCAGGAAAGACAGAGCCTGCTCCTTTCCCCCACCTCGAGGAGCAGCAATCAGCTGTTTGTAATGTACCAGCAGCTTCCTCTCCCATGCCAAGGCTGCAGTGTCTGGAGCTGGGCGGGAGCAGGGAGGTGTTTCAGACATGCAAGGCTCCACTTTCCCTCCACGTTCCTCATTTCTCTTGAAGTGGGGTTGGACTGAGCTCCCCTCTGACGTGGAGTGATGAGCTGGGGGAACAGACTCCAGGAACAGACTGTGTTTGCCTAAGCACCCTACTGTGCCTAGGAACTCAGCAGAGGGAACTGCTTTGACAAAGTGATCCCTTTTGGCAGTTATTGGGTTACAAATCAGTTTAGTGGGGAGTGCAGGGGAATGGCATGTTGTCACCCTGACTGTGTGAGGAAAGGGCAGCAGAACTGTGCGTAGCCTGCCCTGATTGACGCTCACTCGCTACGCAGGGGGGTGGGGATGCCAAATCCCCATCAGAGTGAGAGAGAAAAGGGTCTGGATAGGTGTCTGTATCCGGGGGTGTGGGCTCTGCCTAAAGAGTCCTAGACACCATTTGACCCTCTCCCTCGCCACTGTGTAAAGGCAGAGCTCATTAGACACACTGGAGAGTCTTTGTTTTGTTAAGCGATCGCTGGAGCTGAAATCACTGAGAACCAGGTCTAGCCGCTGAGCCTTAGGGCACGTCTATGCTTAACACGCGGCATCGGCACAGCTTCACCGAGGCAACTGTGCAGCTGTGGCGCTTTAATGGAGATGCTCTAAGCTGACAGGAGAGAGCTTCTCCCATGAGTGTAGCTAATCCAACTCCCTGCGAGGCGGTAGCTGGGTCAAATGGAGAAGCTCTCCTGACCACACAGCATTGTCTACACAGGGAGACAGGTTGGTATAACTACGTCGCATAGGGGACAGAGGTGTGTGGATTTTTCGCCCCTCTGAGCGACGTAGTTATACCAATAGAGGTCTGTAGGTCAGACCAGACCTCTGTTGTATACATGATGGTAGCAGCAGCAGCCGAGGCATTTCTCAATGCCATCTCCCCACCTCCCACCCCTCTCACATGAACGCTCTGAACTCTGGGACTTCTCTGACCAAGGACAGCAGCTGTGGGTGGGGTGCAGGTGAGGGAAAGGGCAAAGGCAGGTTAAAGGATAATTTGTGGGACTTTCACACTGCAAGAGGAGAAACTGAAGCAAAGGACACTGCCCAATATATTCTGGGGTAGGAGTTTGCTCATGGCTAAAGCTACAATTATGTCATGGAGGTCCTGGACATGAGGCTTTTCCCCTCCAATTAGCTCTGCGCCCAAATCATTCCCACCCCAGAACTGACCAGGTGGTGGGGAGCTCCCTAACCTAATGGGGGAGGATGGCCACAGCGCACCCCCACCCCAGACGCCTGCGCTGGGCCCTACCTGGTGAGGCCCCGCTGCCTGCTCCCGTCTCCTCCCCGAGGGGCTCGGCCGCGATGCCAATCTTCTTGATGCTGTGGAAGGGGGCGGCTTGGGGTGTGGCGGCGTGGATGGGGAAGGCCTTCCCCACCACCAAGCGTCCCCTGTGGCAGGTGGCGGGGGACCCTCTTCGCTTGACCAGCCATGGTGGGAAGTGAGGGGACCCCTCCCGAGCTCTCAGCCGCTTCGGGGGTTAAGGGGACCCTGCAGCAGCCCAGTCCCCCATGGGCAGTGGGGGACCCTAGACCTCCCACTTCCCGCAGGTGACCGGGAACTAGAGCTCCCTGCTGCTGCAGCCGGTGGGACCCCCTACGACTGCTCAGCTGCCATGGGGAATGGGAGACTTCGAAGCTCCCACTAACCGCAGCGGCTGTGGGGGACCCCAGAGCTCCAGCAGCAGTGGGTGCTGAGCTGAACCTGCCTCCTCATTTTGTCAGTATATTTTTACTGAAAGTCAGGACAGGTCATAGGCTTCCGTGAATTTTTGTTTATTGCCTGCGACCTGTCCATGATTTTTACTAAAAATATTTTCACCTTACTCATGGTCACAAGCTTTCAAATCGTGGCTGTGGGGTTTCCCAGATTACTGCCAGGTTCCTTTCGCCTTTCCATTAAAAGTTCTCTTTGTTATACACTGAATCAGTGCTTGTGGCAGAGAATGTATTGCCCCTTAGAGGCGCCTGGGGTGGTCTGAAGTTATCCCACATTACTGAGTGGGGGTGTGACGGGTTCGGTCACAGAGATCCCCTTGGGACTGTCACCTGATGTGCTGAAATTACCTCTGGGCCTGCTTTCCCTGCAGCTTGGGTCTCCAGATCCCTGCCTTGTTGGGAGAGACACGCTAGCCTGTTGCAACACAGACCCAGGGTCTGGGCCATGCCCCCAAAGCTGCAGACTTCAACTAAAAACAGTTCAGCAGGTTACCTGTCTCCAGCACCCATCTCCAAAGGGGATGCAAACCCCAAATACATCCGTTTTACTCTGTATAAAGCTTATACAGGATAAATTTGTAAATTGTTCGCCCTCTCTATCATTGATAGAGAGATATGCACAGCTGTTTGCTCCTCCCAGGTATTAATCACTTACTCTGTGTTTATTAATAAATAGAAGTGATTTTATTAATCATAAAGAGTAGTATTTAAGTGGTTTCACGTAATAACAGCCAGAACAAAGTAAGTCATGAAGCAAAATAAAACTAAACACGCAAGTCTAAGCCTAATACATTAAGAAACTGATTACAGGTAAAATCTCACCCTCAAAGATGTTCCAATAACCTTCTTTCATAGACTAGACTCCTTCCTAGTCTGGGCCCAATCCTTTCCCCGGTACAATCTTTGTTAGATCCAGCAGACATCTCAGGTGGTAAGCAGGGGTTTTCTCATGACTGGCAGCCCTTTGTCCTGCTCCACGCCCTTTTATAGCTTTGCAACAAGTTGGGAATCTTTTGTGTCTCTGGGTCCTCACCCCTCCTTCTAAATGGAAAAGTACCAGGTTTAAGATGGATTTCATTATCAGGTGAATGGTCACAAGTCACTGTAAGCCCCCCAGTCTCCATTCCCCATGGGCTGGCCCACACGTACACAGGGAGGCTTTCAGGTAACTAAGGCCATTTACAACTGATTGTTTCTGGAGCATCCTTAATGGCCTCCACTTAATATGTTTTTCATCAGTGATACAGGTTTATAGCTTATTCTCCTAACTCCAGATATAAAAAATAATACATGGAAACAAATAGGATGAACACACTTAGTAGATTACAAGCTTTCTAAAGACACCATACAAGGGGTATTTAGCATAAAGCATATTCCAGTTATATCATATTCATAAGCATATTTCCATAAGGCATATGGAGTGCAACGTCACAGGGGCTCCAGCCGGTTCTGTTTTGTATTGGAACCCCTAGGTATTGAACCCGGCCCTGGTGGCTGCCGACTCCGCCTGGCAGAAGGGTTACTCCTGGCAAGAAAAGCAGAAAAATGACAATAGGTTCCAAGGCCACTGAGAGTGTAATGTGCAAACTGGTGGGTTGTCTCTGTGAGGCAACACACAAAGCCCCTGGATCCTGACCCATAGGGATAATGGAGCCAAGGGAAATTCTTCACGGTGCTGACTGCTCATTGGGGATGATCTGTCTGCACTGACAAGGTGTCAATCCCAGGGGACAATCTGATCTATTCAGTTCATTACACTGCAAGAGCCAATGCCTGCCTAGCCCACAGTGAGTGACCCCTGGAGCTCCCAGGAGAGCCAAGGGAAGGGAACGCGGAGGTGCCAGGACAGGACATTCTGTTCTGCTGCCTAAGACATCTAGGATACTCCTCGATAGTGACCGACTCTCACTAACACTTGCAGTGAAGTTCCCAGCTGGATCATAACCAATCCTGAGTCATTCGGGGGGCAAAGCACCTTTACAGCAGTGATGAGACCCAGCTAGAGATGACTGTGTCACAGGCAGGTATTGGAACAGAGCAGAGAACCTCTTACCGTCTTGGTGCTGGTGGTGGGGACAGCAGACATGGATAGATCGGATGTCTGAGATTTCGTGCTGGACGTTCGGAATCCCTTGATCCATCTCCTGTACTCCTCTCTCACCTGGAGAATGAAGGACATTGTCACTGCACTATTTAACTAACTCTGAGAAGATCAGACATGGCCACCGCGAGGCTGGTGAAGGTGCTGGGTGGGCACATATGGGCCGGGGGCATTACCTGGCGATTGAGGAGACAGTGCACCAGGAAGATGAAGGCTCCCTGCAGGCTGTTGACGATGGTGAATAAATACGCCATGACCGTGGCTGCTGGGCCGACTTGGAGGAGACCAAGGCTCCATGTGCAGCCCAGAATGAAGAGCTGGGCGATGGCTTTAAAGGTCAGTAACCTGGATAAAGGCAGATGGAGAGATCCCGTTACAATAACCCTATGGAGAGCAATTGAGTCAGGAGGGTCTGGGTAGAGTGGAGTGGAGCTACCATCCCTGGCTTTCCTGTGTGGGACAGGGTTACTGTCAATGCGAACACACTGGGAATTCGTTCCCATGGATCCTAGATCTGCTGTTCCCCTCCTGCAATCCCTCACACCCTCCCGGTGCCAAAGACCCTCCAAACCAAGGTATCTGACCCTCCAAGACTGTTTTGTTGCCTTCTCACCTGTGGTCTCTGAGGGTGGACACATCTGCATTGAGGGAGGAGAGTCTGTTTCTCAGGATCCACAGAGTCAGGGCAAAGAACGTTATATTTATCTGTGGGAAGAGTGGGAAATATTTCCTGTAAAACATCCCATCCGGGGCTGATGACTCCAGCTGAGGCAGAGAACGATCCCAGGGGACCGAGCCGAACACTGCAGAACCGGGGACTGCTCATTTCCAGTGGGAATCATCCCCTCTCCTGTAATATCCCCTGGCAGCTCTCGGTCCCTCCCCATGCGTGGAGCTGACAGCACAGCCAGGGCTGAGATGGATCAATGGGATCACAGAGGCCAGATGCTGCTCAGAGTTAAATATGGAGCCTCTCCAGTGGAGTCAGGAGTTATTTTGGGTTTACACTGGTGTAACTGAGAGCAGGATCTGGCTCAGAGATACCAGCTCCTGCCTCTAGAATACTTCCTGCCACTTTCAGGCTGTAACAAATCTCCGCACCCCCGAAACTTCCCCAGGAGGTAGGGAGGAATATGTAGGGACATTTGTTTCCCTCCCTACAAAAAACACTGCAGAGTGCAGCCCTCTCCCTTCCTCGTTCCTTGGGTCAGTAACTAGACTAGACCAAACACTTGCTGACTTCACTTGTAAAAACTCCTACTGACGTCCATGGAAGCTGTGCCCAAGTAAAGGCTGTAGGCCTGGGGATACAGCACAGAGACTAATCCCAGGACTGACCACTGAAGATGAGCCAGGTGGGACCTAACTGGGTCTTTCCTTGTGTTTTATGGGCCACGTTCTCCTCCCTGCTTCACTGAAATCAATGGGGTCGCAGAGGTGAGAGGAGAATGGGGCCCTGTGGTTCTGGGAGGTACCCACCAGGATTATGGCACAGACTGGACCCAGGAAGCTCCAACGAAAGCCTTTGTCCAGGCTGAGCCAGCAGCTAGCGGGAGGGAGGAAGAAGACGGTGACGTTAATGGGATTACTGCCCTTTTTCAGCCCTGGGGGCAGAGAGGGGGGTTCACAGGGCAGCTGGCTCTCAAAAGCGAGATGGATCTCAGCCTGCCTGTGACATGGCCAACTCTCTTGCAGGCAGCAGGCAAAGAGCCCTCCCCATCTACCTCAGCATCTCCTGCTTTCAGCCACCACTTCCTCTTCCACCTCCTCAAATGACCCTTTCTGGTGGATGCGCTCAGTATTGCTGGAGGGCCAGACATGCAGCGGATGGACATTGGCCTCGCTGCACTGAAGGAAGTGGATCTGCCCTGATTTACACCAGCTGAGGATCTGGCCTGGGGTGTCTAGAACACGCCACGCCCTGTTTTAGTGAGTCCCTCACTTTAGAGAGGGGATCCTCAGGGATTTGCACACAGGAAGAAGGTGCATTTGTTTCCTACCCACCAGCCCCACAAACCCAGCCTGGGAGCTGGGAGTCAAGCTGGGATCTTTCTGGCTTGTTCTTCTGCATCATCAGTGGAGTGAGGTGTGTAGATGTCTGACAGGTGGGCAACTCAACTACAGCGCTCGGGGCAGCTTAGTGTCCCTGGGGATGGGAAGGGTCCCAGGGGGACATTCAGCTCCCAGGCAGGGTGAGCAGGGAAATCTAGGTTCAAGTCAGACCTGGGGTGAGCCGGACAAGCGCATGGAAGCCACATCCCAGCTCCCCTTGGGGATGGGCGCTGCACGTACTGTTTGGACGTTCCGTAGCCGTCAGCATTCACCGCTGCAGAAATAGCCACCACCAGGGCTGGGAATCCGTAGCCGAACGGGTACATGAATCTCTTCTTGAACCGGCTGGCGCTGGTGTAATTCACGACCTTCAGGTTTCTGACGGTGAGGAAGAGGTGCAGCCCCTCCAGGAACATCCAGCTGAAGCAGGCCAGGAAGAGGTAGTGTAGGAGGCCAGCAATGACAGCACACACCACCTGGGGGAGACAGAGAGCCCAGGGACACTGCGGTGGGGAAGGGAAATGCTGAGTATGGGGGAGACCTGCCGGGGGGGGTCACACTGGGATTCTAGTTAGCAGAGCTCTCCAGTTATAGCACCCTGTGACCCAGAGACGGCAGGTTCCTCGGTCTATGGAGGGTCCTGTGGGTACACATTGCTGATCCAGGAAGGGAGCAGAGATTATTGGTTACAACAGGGGAACAGGGCTCAGGGAATCCAGGTTCTGTTCACTGCCTTGCCACAGAGTCCCTGGGTCACCATGGGCAAGTCATGTAGAGGAGGAATCGAGGCACAGGGAGACTGACATAGGGATAGAACTGGCCAAATTCCTGGGGATGTGGACACTCAGACCACTCTGCGCAGTGTGAAGGGACATAATGGGGTGCAAACATCCCCCCAGGAATCCCCCCTGTGTCCGGCAGAGTCCAGAATCCAGGGATAACAAAGGGGTTCAAAGCCACACAACCCAGCCCTGCTGCTAATGGAGGAACAGAGCAGGGGAGAATCAGGACGTACCCGACTGCCGGTGCGGGTCACAGCGGTGAGGAAGAGCAGGTCGGCCAGGAAGAGGCAGAGGCAGAGCTGCAGGTGGAGGGAGGTGCTGACGTTGCGGATGGAGCGGCACAGGAGGAAGGTGAGGATGGCGAGGAAGAGGCACAGCAGGGAGAGGG